GATAATTTGGTTTCAGCAACTGAGTTGACAATGTAAACTGGCCACCATGACGAGATACTAAAGCTGATATTTCTGGTGTTCGGCGAGTGGTTGGAAGCCCTCGGGGAGCAGGGTTGGCGTAGTGGTGAGAGCGCTCGCCTTCACCAATGTGTCCCGGGTTCGATTCTCGGACCCGGCGTCAGTAGTGGATTGAGTTTGTTGATTCTCTACCCTGCACCGAAAGGTTTTTCTCCGGGTGTTCCGGTTTTCCCCTCTCCTCAAAAACCATCATCATTTGAATTTATTTAATTTAGAGTCTATTTGCATTTACACACGACCCCGCAAGCTGTTCAGCTTTAAACATTATTGTGTCTAAATAAAGGTATTATTATTATTATTATCATTATTATTATCATGTATTCGCCCTTCGTCCTTCGCTCTGTCGAAGGGCTAACGATCTAAACGTTAGCTTTCAAATCTCTTTATGGTAGCTTATTAACATTATCAACTCAGTTGATAAAACCAAATTATCTTATGATCCCCCCTCACCGACAAAGCTTGTTTGTACACGAGTGAAGATCAAAAACACATTTGAATATTTTCTTATCCCTTTATTATTTCTACCCCAAAGAAAACACACATTTTTTTTTTCATTTGTGGTACGTCAGTAGTCTAACATGGACGTCAGGTATTCATTCTAGTTGTTTTTCATCTTGTCTGTGACCCAGTCTTTCAAGTAACGCACTTTAGCATAAACTCCAAACTTGTTAGGTAGTGCGCATCCGTGCCCCCAGCTGGTAGCCCCCTCGAGGTACCATTTGCCACTGAATTCGCACACCATAGGTCCGCCACTGTCACCTTGGCAAGCATCGATTCCTCCCATGTCAAGACCAGCGCAGATCATGGACTCATGAATGCTTCCTCCGTAGGCCTGCTGACATTGTGCATGAGAGACGATCGGTACCGACGCTTCTTGGAGTTCATCTGGCTGTTCACCCCCGCTTTGCAGCGTTCCCCATCCTGTAATGTAGCACTTCTTTCCCGGCACTAGGGACAGGTTTGCGTCAGGCAGGCATACGCGTCCTACACCCTTGTCGATCTTCGCACTTTCAGTCAGTTTAAGTAGTGC